GGGGTGTCAAACCACAGCCACCAGCTCCCTGGTCCAGTATGGTAATAAACCGAGTTAACGGCGCGCCATTTGATGGCAGTACAATACAATAATATCTTTTGTGAGGAGATCAAATTGCAACATATCAACTTTATTTGTTACGTGTCAGCAGCCTTTTTTCCCTGTCTTCCGACCTGCGTTTGTGGTGTTGTGGTTTAGTTTTAGTAAGTGTTTTACGGCACTTGCAACACAATAAGGTCATATAAGTGCCGAAGATTAGAGGTGTTACAAGAGAGTACCAAACACAAAAATTAAAGAAGGAGGGGGAGATAAAAACGATAGACTTTTGATAGGAAAAGAAAAAAAAGCTAACCACACCAGAGCACCCGCCAACCATCCACGTCTTGTTGTAGCGGTTAGGCGACTGACCGTCACAAACAGAAGGTGTAAGTTCGATTCCCGTGTGGGGAGTCTTATCAAGTCGGCCCTAGCCTGCCTACGTCTTTCTCCTGGGACGTTGTATCCCTATTTGACCCGGTTGGTTTTTATACGGGGTGCCCATTGCGGATGGGATCGGGTCGGGTCGAGTCGCGAGTAGGGCGATCGCCCCACTCGTCGCTTGAAAACAAACGCGTTTGTCTTTGAGTCGGCTAGTCGGGCGCGATTGGCTTTTGCCACGATAGCCGATTTGCGCCCTCAATCTGGCTAGCAAACCGCCGCGACCAGATCCGATGCCCCAAGGAGCACCCCGTATACGGGCAGTGTCGAATCAGCGCCAGAAGTTTAGAGGTGTTACAAGAGAGTAACAAACATAAAAAAGAAGAAGGGGAGCTAAGGACGATAGATGTTTGATAGGAAAAAAGAAGCAAACCACACCAGAGCACCCACCAACCACCCACGAGGAAGAGTTAAAGGTGCTTAGCGGTAACATCGACCACTATTATTTTGGTGTTCCGGGTTTCATTCTTACGTGATACATGAGGAAAATAACACGAGTGACACACTGAGGCTTTGTACAAGAAAGCAAACAAATAGAACAAACGACGAAAACAAAACAAAACAACAAACTCACAAAAGAAAAAGAACCCCCCCCCACAAACAAACACGGTACCTATTATGAAATTTGTTATACGAGGTAAAAAGCGTCAGCTCTCAAAAGAAAGCAAACGCACGGGTTTTTTTTCCTCCCTTGTCCACATCCATATTCACAGCTGGCTGCAGCATTTCTCCAGAAACGCAAACAAAATAAAAGAATTTATTTTTTAAAAAGTCGACCCGAACAAAAGCAGGTATATTTCCAAAGGCTAGCCTAATGCAAGGCTTCCCAACTCGTCCCAAGCACTTTTCCTCACAAACTGTGACCGACCTTTTCATGAAGTGTCGCTTCGTCACTTCTATAGCAGGTCGATCTGCTTCAGCAAACCAGTGAAGAGAACTGGAAAAGGCTTATTATGTCTTTCTCCAGTGGCCAAGGTCAGATTCGTCCTATACATCTAAATACCCTCTTCATTCGTCTTTTTCAGCTTCTTCATCTTGCCAACAATTAATTAATGATATTATATGGGATGAAAAACAGATTTTGTTTCTTTTCCCTTTTCAGAGTGGGGCGTGCGTAAATGTCAGATGAGATGTTCCCAGCGTTACGCTCTGTATTTATAGGGTTCACTGTTTCTGGTTTCCCACGGAAATTCTTCCTCTTCTTCTTCTTCTTCTTCTTCTTCTTCTTCTTCTTCTTCTTCTCCTCCTCCTCCTCCTT